TTAACATAAGCAGGAAACAGAAATTAAATATTTTAATTTGTCAAACATTCGATCACTCAGTGGCCCATATCGGTTACTGGGTTTCTGGCCTGGGCACCGAACACCTACCCAATTTTGTTCGGTCTTGGACCAAACCTGAGACTTTGGGCCGGAAGTCCGTTTTAACCAACTAAAGCCCACATTTCGATGCGGTTTTCAGGCCACCGATCGGGCCGATTTTATTGCTCAGCCCACTCTCGTCTCTTGCTTCGCTCCCAGCGGTAGTAATACTTTTTTTTCCTTTTGGCCATTATTGATGCATTTAATTAAAGGGAGAATTTGTCAAGTCATTTTTTTTAACTTGTACGAATTGGGGATCGGAAAAATAAGATTGTTAATATTTAAATTTTAAATTTTTAAATATTATTATTATTTGACTACATACAAGGCCTTCTGTACAGAACACGTGATTCGGATACAACACTGATGGAATGCATCGGAGAGATCACATATTATGAAACAAAAGCCCGAGAGTGCTACGCAGAAGAAATTCGTATGAGCAAACAGGCATTCATTGAAATGTTGGTGCTTGATGGCTGCTTCATTGTTGAACTGTTCAGGAAGGATGCTGGAGTGGTTCAGAAAGGTGAAAATGATCCTATTTTCTCTACTTCCTGTATGCTTCAGTTCTTATACCATGACTTGATTTTGCTGGAAAATCAAATACCTTGGTTTGTGCTTGAGCTTCTGTTTAGCTTAGCACGTGATTCGTTTGAAACCAAGTCCTTACTTCAACTCGCCTTGGTTTTCTTCGACAACATTTTTTCATCTGAGAAATCTCCTATACACCTATCTCTCTTCGCCAATCAAGAAATCCAGCACATTCTTGATTTGATAAGAAGTTCTTTGGTGTTGCCACTTGGAGAGCAGCAAGACCAAGAAGAGTCATCTGCATCATGGCGGAGTATTGCTTCTGCCACCAGCATCAAAGAATCTGGAATCAGTTTCAGGAAAGTGAGATCACCAAGCATCTTGGATGTCAAATTCAGAAGAGGCGCTCTGGAAATGCCATCAATTTTCATCCAAGAAACCATCGAACCTGCCTTCCGAAATCTGATCAGCTATGAGCAATGTTATCCAAACTGTCCTCCCAGAGTTACAAGCTATGCTATACTCTTGGACAACCTTATCAACAATGAAGAGGACGTGGAAGAACTCGGCAAGAGTGGAATTCTTATCAACTGGCTTAACCCGCATGACACCACACCGTTCTTTAAGATGCTATACCATGATACTTTTGTGAAAGAGTTTTATTACAGGAAGCTTTGCTGGGAAGTGAATGAATATCAGCAGAAATTGTGGCCTAAATGGCGAGCTTTTTATACCCACAACTTTTTTGCAAAGCCATGGGCCATTGTTTCTCAGATTGCTGCTGCTATCCTTCTCGTCCTAGCTATCCTTCTCGTCCTAACTTTCCTGCAAACCATTTATTCCATGAAGTGATGAATACTTGTTGTAATACATGTCATATGATGTTGAGACACAAACAAAAATTGTCATTAGTTAATGATATGTAATATTCATGATCTGGGGACTCTTTATTTTTGATGAATCTCTTATGAGGAATTTGATTAGAATATAAAGTTTTCTCAATCTCAAAGCCCAGTATTTTGTCACACACCATGCAAGCAACATGAACTTTACTAAAGCTCACAACAATGCTGGGAAATTGCCTCAACCAATTTACTAAATCAAACATCACCAATTATTTAAAGCTTAACTTTTTAAATTTATTATTCATTTTGAAATTAATCAGAGGAAATTAATTTCG